ACTGTAATGACCGTCCCCAAACGGCCATTACCATACTCGACATAAACAAAACTCAATATACAAAGCAGAATATTAAAGACACAAAGTTTCGTCATGAAACTTTATTTCTTATATACATAAGAAATTTTATAACTAAAATGTCAAAAGACCAACAACAACCACCCGTAAAACAACGTCATCACACCTGATCAGGATTTTTAAAGTAAAATATTAAACAACCCGTAGTTGTATCAAAGTATTATACAAAACACAAGAAACAACCAGGTCTTCTCCGTTAACCCAACCAAGGCCTTGTCACCAGCTCCGTACATCCTCTCTCAGGTTTCAGTCTTCATTTATTACCTATACATGAGAACACAAGAGAATAGAATTCTTGTAAGCAACAATGCTTAGTAAGTCAACATTTCATCCACTAAAATATTCAGGGAATCTTAGCTAATCATAAACCGATACTCATATTGGATACACAACACATAATCTATAATCAACATAATTGCATCACATAAGCATTCATGTATCAAACACCAAGACAGTTCCTTATCCATCCATCTTTCTTCTTATTTCATTCCTCGACTGTAATGGCTCGTAGCTCGTGTCCTGGCCCCTCACTAATGACCTTGGGTAGCTAGCCCGCAGCCATCAGAAGTAATCCCGAGACTCCACGCGGAAGGAGATCCCGCTCCGTTCAGCTCAGGTGATTAATGGGGCACGACTACCTTAGAACATATCTTATCATTCCTTAGATATCATCATCATCATAATTCCCTTTCATGATTGGTTCTATAGGAACCCAATCTAAGATCAAACATACATCATGAATATCACACATTTAATCATTTCATAACTCTACAATCAACACCACATATCAACACTTACATATCACTTGAACTTCACCTATCATCATGTCACACAAGTTCAAGTATCCAAGCAAACATATCATATTCATTATTAGCAAGACTTCCATACTTTGATTTAGAACTATCATGTATAAGTGGTGATGACTTATTTACATGATTCACGTGGAGTTTTTACCCTCAATTGTTTGTATAAGGCGCCCACGGGCAACAGTTCTTCGATGAGCAGCTATATATATGATTTACACTTCATCAACGCAATTTCATGCTTTTACAAAAAACCCTAAGACTTAGGCATAAGAGGAACTCAACAAAACCAGTCCCCGAATACGATAGACTTCTAAGACTCCTATATCTCAACCGGTCAAATTCTGGGGTAATTAGACAACCAACACCCGATTGAAACTAACCAATAACCATACTATCAAGATTTCTACACATCTACTTAAAATCAGCCTATACATATTAAGAAGATTCCCCAAATTCTTTCATCAGTTTGACATAGTTTTGATATAGCAGTTATTCAAGAATAGATTTAAAAAAACTTGTTAAACCAAGTATAAACAACCACTCTACAACACTCCTATCATCCATAAAATCCATTAATTTTTTAGAATCAACCCAAAACTTACTCAACCCTAGTTTAATCCCAAAACAAGAACTATGGATCAAATATAGAAAAATTCTTCATGTAAAGTGTAAAAATCTTACCAAGTGATGATATTTGATGAAGAATAGGTTTAATTTGGCCTTGAATCACCTTAGGAAGGGTTTTGATATTGTTGGTAGAGAGATGGACGAGCTCAGGTCCAAATTGGGGTTGAAAGGGGATTTTTTCGCTAAAAATAGCCTTTTGCACCGACTGAGAAAACTGACCGGACCGGTGCCGGTTTGTCCCTGACCGGCGCCGGTTGCCTTGCCATTCCAACACCCTAAAGTTTCTGTTTTGAACCGGCGCCGGTTTAGGCCCAACCGGCGCCGGTCTGGCACCCTTGGGTGCCGAAAACGCCCTTTTTTGCCTAAACCGACCCTGATTGTTGCCTATCCCATCCTAGACCCCCAATGACCTTTTAAACTATATTTTAAACACCCAAATACTATCTAACATGACAAATAACTTGATATACCATTACATTCAAAAATACAAATGATTATTACAGTGAAATTTCGTTGCTCATCGGATACCGTCGCCTGTTACGTTCAAACATAATACAAACATGTGAGTTCAAATATCATTTTCATAAAGTTCAAAATCATGCTATCCCTACACTTCACACATGTAGCACTCAAACATAAGTTAAAGCATGATCATAATAAAAGTGATTAGCACGTAAGAAGTAAATAAAAAGTACACACGTTACAATTCTCCTACTACTGGTGATGCTGCCCGGGCAATACCACCACTTCCAAGTTTTTTGGGTTCTCCTCATCCATATCCATACTAGCATGTGCCCCCACATCACAATCCTTGTCAGTGACCCTACGCTTTCTTGGTGCGCCCTGGGTTGTAGCAATCTCCTTCCCCTTTGACAGGAGTCCTTCCACTATATAGCTTTTCTGTACGTTCCTTTGTCGCTTTATCGGACTCTGCTTTCTCATCTCGTCTATCTTCTGGCTTGTTAGTGCTAGGAATAATTAAGCCACCTGTTACCCGGATGCGAACCTCCCCGTCTCATATCAGCCCGCAACCATGGTCCATAAGGTTTCTCCCCGGTACCTAAATCACTATTCAGATTAGATCGACAATAACAGTCAGCATGCCCGAGAATCCTGCACAGAAAGCAGAAATTCAGGAGTCTCTCATAACGAAAATTTGCCCAGATCCAACTATCTCCCTCCTGCCTAACCTGTAAGCGTCTAGTCAAAGCCATAGTAATATTAAGCGTGACTCTAAACCGCAGAACCAACCTTTGCTTTCCACCAAGGGAGCCCTCATCCACTTGCACCACCGATCCGATACTATTAGCTATACCACGATCTGCCCTTGCCGTCATGTAGCTTAAGGGTAGGTTATGAACCTGAACCCAGAAATCCGCATGATCCAGCGGAACCTCCAGAGGTTTATCAGTGCGCCCCAGTCATTTAATAACCACAAGATTCTGCTCAAAAGACCAATGTCCTTCATCAACAACTCTGTTCAGATCGCATTCATGATAGAACTGCAATAGGAATTTAGAATCCTCAATTTCATTGATAGATACTCCTTTGACCGGTTGCCAAATCATAGCCATTGTTTGGCAAAAAGAAATGGCACGAACAGGTTTGTCAGAGACCACTCTGGCCACAGCCGCTAGATTAAATCCCTCTATAATCCCATTCGCGTTCTCTGCTGGATCAGCCACTAACATCAACCCCTGATTCTCTTCCTCGGCAATTGCCAGCATGCTAACATTTCTCGATATCATTTCCATCACAGTACAAACCAGATTATTCAAACACAAAGCAAATAAAACTACCGGAACAAGATAAAAAAAGTCAATTGAAAGCACTGCTTTCCACACAAAAGGAGGGGAGCAGCCATCGTTTGTTCAGAGCAGAAGAACAACAATCAACCTCGGCCAAATTGAGCCGGAAACAAAGCACGGGACTAGACGCTCGGAGAAGAAAAAAATCCGTCGAAACACGAGAAAAACGAAGAAAAAAACGCACCCCGGTACCAGAAGAATTGAAGCGCCGATACTCTCTAATAGCACCGTCACCTTTATCAGTTTGGTTCTGCCTTGAGAAGCCCTTCAGAAACGCCGCTCTAAATTGCCGTTGAAATCATCGCGAAGCCTGGGCCGGCTGGAGAGCTTGAGTTTACATATCCATTATAGACTTGACTACAACCATAACTTAGAAAATCAGATGAGTTGTTATCTTTTATTAGCAAGATAGGACTTATTCAATCCTATTGAAAGTATTCTGCATAAAACTTTCCCAATTAAGAGTGAAAGAATCATTATAGACTCACAGTTTAGAAAATTAAAGATTGTCCTAATTTTATTGAACCGCGTGACAAAACAAACTTTTTAAATTTTGCAAATAGCACTCAATAATATACTTCCTCCGTTCTTAAATAAATGAAAACGGTCAACATTACACACTTGTCGAGACACAACTTTGACCATTAATAAATATAATTCCCTATTAGTAAAAAAATAAAAAAATAGATTTTGAATATTTACAATGAGAAAAATGTAACAATATTTTTTTAAAAATATATAATTAATAAATAAAACGTTATCAAAGTAGAACATGTGAATAGTGTAAAATTCAACATGGTACATTTATTTGAGAACGGAGGTAATACTAGTAGGGGTGGGCAAAAGACCCGGTCCCGTTGGTCCGTTCCGGAACGTTCCGGTTCCGTTCTGAAATTGTCCCGTTAAATTCGGGACAAACTATTTTTGTCATGTTCCGGTCCCGAACCGTTTCAAAACAAAACGGGACCGAGACAAATAAAATATGTCCCGTTCCGTCCCGTTGTCCCGAATTCAAAATTGTATGGAGTATATAGTTGTGGGTTAGTGAGTCAACCATCAATTCAAATACTAATGAATATTAATATTAATTAGGTATTACTTATCTAATATGTAAAACACCTAAAGGAGTCTAAATTATATCAAGTATGAACTATCTTCTACATACTAAAAAAACTCATCTATACTTCACATGTTTCACTTCTAATAATATTGTTTGTCTTTTTATTTATTTTTGTAGTTTCTTAGTAGTATTGTGTGTGTTGGAGTTAATTGTTGTTGTTACGGTTTGTTTCGTGCAACTATCCTATTAATCTACTATTTTTGTGTTGCATTTATCGTAAATTTTTGTATGTGTTGCATTTTTAGTGTTGTAGTTTTTGTCATGAAATTTCTTTTTGGAGTTGTATTTTTTCGCTGCAATTTTTTTGGGATGTCCCGAACCGTCCCGTTCTGTTCCGGTACCGGTTTAAAAGGGACAACACCGGGACAACATCTTGTCCCGTCCCGTTCTGTCCCGTTATCCTAAACCGGGTTCGGGACCGGGATAGTCTAATTCTCATCCCGTTCCGTCCCATGCCCACCCCTAGGTAATAGTACTACCGAGTAGTATTTGAAATAAAAAAAAAGGAAAAGAAGAAAAACCCTACCCTAAGCTACCTCTGGCCTGGCACAAAGACATTATTATTATTCTCACTACTACTATTTCATCTATTTCGTGCGGGCTCTCGATGTATTATCAATTAAGATCCTTTTAACAAGGTGATATATTGAAACTGCCAAACACAACACAACAGCTCAAAGTGGATTTCTCTCTTGCTTTCTAGCTTTAGGACCATCACTTGTTGGAAGACTCATTGCTTTCTGTTTGCTTTTCTTTTTCTTTTCCTCTCTCCACTTTTCTCTCACCCTTTGCTCAAATGGATTCTTCTCAGTGGCCACAGGTAAACACATATTCAACCATCTTCTCTCTATCTTTACTTCTCTGGCCTGCTTGCCTCTATATATACTTATGATATGACTCATAATTAAACATCTATATGCTTACAATATATTCTTAATCCTAGCTAGGGTTTAGAGAGAAATTCAAAAAACCAGTTATGTATATATCTACACATATATGTGCATATATATTATTGATCTTAACTTTGCTTTGGCTCTCCAAATTTCATCTACCAATCTTCTTTAATTTTTGTTGTAATCACAGTTTGAAAACCTACTTTTACAAGCTAAGAAATGCCCCTTCTTTAGTTGTTTAATTCCTGTTTTTTTTGTTCCAATACATTTGTTATCTAAAGAATGAACACCGTTTTAATTAATTTCTTCTCAGTTCTTTAAGTACGTAAAAATGCATATGGTATCTATCAACACTTGTGATTAAAGTTCAATTTACATCTTCCTTCCTAATTTAGTATCTTGCTAGGTGTCAATCCTTTTTCTTTCTCTTCTTCAACAACTTCATTCTTCTATAAATCTTTAAATAATAGCCCGTGCATCTATTTTAGCAAGGTTGTACCTGCACCTAGCTAGAGCTAGGTCGGAGATAGCTTAGCCCAATGTGTACAAATTAAATAAATTAAACTAAAAGAATATAATGAAGAATATCTGTTCACCAGAGAATATTTGTATTTTGTGTTTTATGTGATTGGAATGAACAAGAAAATATCTTCCCACTTGTAGCGAGCGATTCTTTGATATTTTGTACGGAGTAGAAAACATTTTCTCATTTCGAACAAGGGATATGTTTACAAAGAATACATTTTTCCAAGAAAAAATGTTTCAAGAAAAAAAATCTTTTCATCAAAAACATTTTTGAATTTGCCCTAAATAGTACTCCGTAAATAGCACCATGAATAAGGTATAGTTTTACTAAATACCCGTACTATGTTTTTTTCTAAATGAGAATAAATAGTGACATCTTGAAACCATATTGTTTTTTTTTTTCAGACATTTCTTGAAACCATATTGTTAAACTCAAATGATATCGTCATTCTTTAAAGCTTGATGTAATTTCATGATGAATGCCAGTACTTCACTTCTATTTAGAAAAAAGATATAAAGAAAAAGCACAACACTGCATTGGGCAAATTAAACCACCTTATTTAGTTATTTATACTCTTATTTTCGAATTTTCCTAATTAAAACCTACGAAGTATGCATATAGATAGTATTACTGTACAGGTTTTCTAGTGGCAAACACTTGTAGTAAATCTTTCTCCTTTTCTTCAAGAGTGATTTATATCATGATAAATATGTTCATCCAAACTAATGCAAAAAATATATGAGTAAAAACAAGGACAATGGTTTGCAGAAGTATACTTTTCTTTAAATAGGAATAAATATTGTCATCTTGAAATTATACTTTCACACCGATCATACCTATACTCTATGATTCCGATGTGAATCTTTACTCTTCATATTCGAGAAAAAACTCATTATTCATATTTCCCATCCAACTTGTTTTAACTCATATTTTGAGAAATTTACTAAGAGGCATTTGGTAATATCCAAAGCGATTGCATTAACTGATTCTACTGAAATTTACGAACTTCTGACTGAAGTGACTGAATTGGTTGATTATGTTAATATATCAAAACAATTATGATACATATTAAAAATATATTTTAATAATTAAATAAAGAAAAAATTATACGGAGTATGAAAAATAACTAAAATGATCTTCTATACTAAAATCAGTCAATACAAACAAAAAATAACTACAACATTAAACATTTTTTTATAAATGTGTATTTGTAGAAACATAGAAAGTAGTAGTGATGACTGATGATGATGATAATGTCTTGGGATGGCAGGGTGGTGTGGAGGGTAATAGTCCAAAGAAGACAAGGACAGAAAAGGAAAAAGCGGCATTGAATTGTCCAAGATGTAGTTCCCCCAACACCAAGTTCTGTTACTACAACAATTATAGCTTGTCCCAGCCCAGGTACTTTTGTAAGACGTGTAGGCGCTATTGGACCGCAGGTGGTTCTCTGAGGAATGTTCCGGTCGGCGGCGGTTCAAGAAAGCACTGCCGTAGATCCTCTTTTTCATCTCCCTCCCTCTCTTCTAACAAGATTCTCACTTCCAGCTCCACTACTGCCAAGATGAATTACCTAGCTTATGATCCGCCGCCGCCCGTCTCTGTCACCGGCGGCGGCAGCAATAATAACACTTTCAGCGGCGTTTCTGGGCTTGTGAATCAGAATCAGAATCAGAATCATCAGCAGAAGAATGGGTTTTTTTCTTCTTTCATGGGCATGTTGCCGCCTCCAGCAGCTGACCATATGTTATTTCCGCTGCCGGCTGGGGTTCATTCAAACGACGGCGGCAGCGGTTTTAACTTTTGTTTGGATGGGTTTTATGGAAATTTACTGCAAGGGTCTGGGGGCGCTTCAGGTAATGCCAGGCTCTTCTTCCATGATGCCGATGTGAAGCCTGCAGTTTCTGCAGCGGAGATTGACAATGATCGTCTGTTTGGTCAGCGCCGGCCGCCGGAAGAGGACGCCGCCGCTGGCGGTGCCGGAGTTGGTGGTGATGCGGGAAATAATGGGTATTGGAATAATAATAATAATAACAATAACAATAATCATAATTATGGGATGCGAGGTGGAGGATCATGGTGTGATTAGTTAATTATTAATGAATAATTAATTAAATATAGGTGGTGCTTATTTGGTGTGGGGCTTTTGTTCATTTCATCATTTTGTTGCAAATTTTTCTTGTTCATGTTACGTTTGGTGATCAAAAGTTGGTTTTTAAGTGTATTGATCAATCAAGTAAGAGAGTAATTAACAGATTGGGGCCGGTTTGGACGTAGTGTTTTTTTTAATATTTCAAAGGGAGATTTGTAATTTTAGTTCTGTAACTTTCGGTTGTTATCGTTTTTGGTCCTGTAACTTTAAGCACTAGCAAAGTTGGTCATTTAACTAATAAATTTTTGTAATTTAAGGATTTTCCCACCGGAAAGTACACTTTCCGGCGGAAAAGTTCGACGACGGCGACATCTTTTCCGGTATGCTATTGACGGAAAGTATACTTTTCAGAGGAAAAGTCCTTAAATCGCAAATATTAATTAGTTATAGGACCAAATTTGCAAGTGACTAAAGTTACGGGACTAAAGTCCCATATTTCAATTCCTATCTCATAGAGATCAACATTATATGGTGCTACATATATTTTGGAGTTATGCCCTAGTTAATAGCCTATTATACATGCTATGCTTGATTTGAATTGGTTTTTTACTACTATACTCAGTGAGTTCTTTTTGAACAAACTTGTTTGATCAGTAAATTTTATTTTGTGTTTCTTTGAACAGTTCTATACGGGCTTCAATTAATTTATATTTCCATTTTGAACTTTTTTCTCACTTAAGAGTTAATTTCAACATTTTGCTTTGGAACTTCAATCTTCTATCATCTTTCTCTTCTCACATTTATTACTTGAACTTATTTCAATCCAAGACCAGAACATATTATACTAGATTTAAACAGATCATACTAGATCAAAATTATATAAGTTAGATCGGACTAAACTTTGACAGTTGTAAAATACATATAGACAAACAGCAGTGACCAGACCATATTAAATTTGAAAATTTCAGTCCAATTAAAAATATCCTTAAGCATTATACCGTACATCGGATGCAATATTCAATGGATACAAAAAGTACATGTTGTTCATAGGGGTATTTAAAATTGATTCTGTTTGTGCTTCTTTTTTGTTTTAAAAGTAAAAGTAAAATTAGAATTAATTTTTCAGAAGCTAGTCTTGCTCAACTTCTTAAGAACTACTTCTAGGAGTAATTTGAAAGACTTAAATGTACTTTTGAAATTTCACCCAAATACTCAGATATCCGCTTCAGGGGCCCCCGGGCCATATACTCCATCAGGAGTCTCTCACTCCTTTTGCCGAAAGGTACTTGAGGGAAAAGGAGTAATTGCGTTAGTCCTTTGATGTTGGCGTTTTGCTTTGTAGTTTGTGGAGTTTTGTGAGGAGTTCTTCGTCTGCATGTTTTGCCGAGGGCAGTTCCTCAGTCCCCACATTTTGGGATTTGAAGGATTATGTTGTTGCTTTGGGAAGATTTTGACATTTTGCATTTTTGTGATTTTCCCCAAGGGGTCTTCCAGTCCCCCACTCCTTGAGGCGCATGTAATGTGGTGAAGAGGAGTAGAGTGGTGCCTGTTTTTATCATGGGGCCGAAGGCATGAGATTTTCGTTTCATTTTGGGGGGGATGCCTCGTTAAAAATTGATACGTTCGTAATTTCCATATTTATGATTGTATTTTTAATTAGTTTTGCTTGACCTTTACTTTGGAAATTACACACTTTTGGTGTAATAGATTAGTTTGTTAAATTCTTGTAAATAGGTTAGATTAGATATATTCTGAGCTCAAACAGGTATTGATCACTCGAAGTACAGTTGGTGAACCCCAAAAAGTGGAAAGAAGGTGCAAAAGTTCAAAGACAAAAGAAGATCCTGAATTTTGGTCTATACTCGGTCGAGTATTAGCTATACTCGATCGGGTATTAGGTTGGAACTTCAAATCGGATCAGATCCGAAGACAAGGGAACATGCCGGGAAGATTTCGGCCACGATTTTATGTCTATACCCGATCGGGTAGACCGACATACCCGATCGGGTATGCCTTTGAATTTCAAACAAAGATCGGTCGAGTATGGTCCGAATACCATTTTCTAAGCATACTCGACCGGGTATTAATATATACTCGATCGGGTATACTTATGGAAAATAGCCTGAAACCGGTCGAGTATACCTCGGATCGAGTGTTACACACATACTCGATCGGGTACCATGTATATACCCGATCGAGTACCCGAATCCCATCCCAAAAGCCTACAAATACACCTCCTTTCCTTCACAAAGATATATCCAATTCCTTTGTACATCTAAGCTCAGTATAGAATAGCTCTTTCTTTATATTTTTCATCATGTTTAGTCTCCAAATGAGGAGCTAAACTCTTCCATCTTGGTTTTGCTACTTTGAAGCTTAATGAATTTGTAAGTTGTGAGTTATTTTCTTTAATCTTCTTCCTTGAATATTAATTCTTTCTTTCAAAATACTATCTCTGTATCAAAGTTGAGGAGTGTTACTAAGATGACAATTAGTTAACATCTTGACATTGGTTATAGTAATAGCTATTTCTTCCTCTATGATAATATTGGGGAGTGTTACTAAGATGACAATTAGTTAACATCTTGATATTAATCATAGTAGGATTCATATTCTTTAATATTCTTCCTTGAGTATTAATTAATTCCTATTCATATTTCATGTTAATATCTTAAACATTACTTAAAGTATCAACTAGTATTGTTTCTCATATTAATTATTACTAGAATCAATCGGTTAATACGCTTGTTATTAATCCGGTTCTTTCAACGGTAGTAAACTTGGAATATTAATGCATGCATCTCATGGTTAATATGCCAAGGGGAATTAATTATATTGATTAAACCAATAAACCGCTTGTGTTGAGGTTATCAATCTCAATCGTTTTCATCTTAAGTTTATTGCTACTATCAAGTTAATATACGGCGCTTGTTCTATATTGACTCGATAGTAAGTTTTATTAATGAACGCATCTCGTTATTAATAACTACCCTCGATGAACTGGATATACTCCTCGATTGAGTATTCGAGAGGAAGATAGTTAAAGATATAACCGGGATCGACGAACATTTCATTAAGTGCATAAAAGCAAAACCAAGTCTTCATCTCATTGAATTAAACTCATATAGGTTGTTTATCTTAGTGTTTTTAAAGCAAACAAATCTAAACCCCCTTTTTTGTTACTATTTATATAAAAGAAAAGTATTCATTTCCCTGTGGATACGAACCTTACTACACTATACTACGTATTAGTGTCGTATTGATTAATTATTTTGAGTGCACCTAACGACAAGTGCACGTCAAATTTGGCGTCGTTGCCGGGGAAAGGCAATTAATTTTTCTTTTATTTCATATCAAGAAAAATCAAAAAAAAATATTAAATAAAAATATAAAGAGTTCTTATTTTTTTCTATTTCTGAGCTTGGTGAAGTATATGGTTAAACACCGTTCTATAAACAAGATCACCTATCAAACAAACCCAGAAATAGAACAAACTTTCGAGCGGTTGAAAAGTAAATTTTCTAATAACGACTCGGAGGAATCATCTATCAGAGATTCATCCAGCGCTAGCTCTCATTCTAGCGAAACCGAAGAGTCAATAACCATGGCTCTTGAGACAAGAACACTACGGGAGCTCACTGCTCCAAATCTCAATCAACAACCATTATGTATTACCTTCCCTACACTCGATGAAGGTAATACATTTGAGCTAAAATTTGGGCTCATACATCTACTGCCATCCTTTCATGGCCTAAGAGGAGAAGATCCGAACAAACACCTTTCTGAGTTCCATATTGTGTGCACAAGCATGTGCCCCAGTGGTGTCTCGGAAGAATAAATCAAATTGAGGGCTTTTCCATTCTCCCTCAAAGACACTGCAAAGGATTGGCTATTCTATCTTCCTTCGGGAAGTATAGACACATGGGCAGCAATGAAAAAATGCTTCTTGGATAGGTACTATCCCGCCTCAATCTCATCTTCTTTAAAAAAACAAATAAGCAACATTGAGCAAAAAGAAGATGAAACATTGTATGAATATTGGGAGCGCTTCAAAAAGTTGTGTGCTAGTTGCCCATATCATGGGTACACCGAGCAAGACCTCATCCTCTATTTTTATGATGGTCTTGCGGATCAAGATAGGCGCATGGTGAATGCGGCATGTGGAGGGGGAATTGTTAACAAAACCCCTTCTCAAGCAAGGAATCTCATCTCGGAGTTGGCTGAGAACTCCAGACATTACAGTGGGTGATCCTCAACTCGAAGGGTTGCCGCAGCAGAATCCAACACCTCGTTGGAAGGCCAAGTTGCCAGTTTGACTTCTCTGGTCAAAGAACTTCTTCTGAAACCAAACACTCAGGAGGTCAGAGCTTGTGGCATTTGCACAGCAACCGGGCACCCCACTGATTCGTGCCCATCCCTCCAAGAAGAACAAGTCAACGCCTTGGGTTTCCAAGGCCATCAACAGAAGATGTATGATCCATTTTCAAATTCTTACAACCCTGGATTGTGGGATCATCCTAACTTGAGGTATGGAAACCCTCAACAATCCAACTCATCTTCTCAATCTGGTATGTCAACTGATGACATGATCCGGACTTTGACCTCAAGCATGGTTACCATGCAACAAAACATGGGACAATTTCAACAAACCATGATACAATTTCAACATGAGACAAAGTCAAGCATTAACAATTTGGAAATGCCGTGAACCGACTTGAAACAAAGGACTCGAGTAAACTCCCATCCCAAACGGAGCAAAACCTGAGACAACATGTGAATGCCATCATGTTGAGTAGTGAGGCAACATGGAAGGAGGTAGATCAAGAGGAGGACCCTGAAGAAGAAATTCAACCTGAGGAGGGGGTCACAACAGCCAAGCTCCCCCTACCGTCATCATATGAACCAGTAGCCCCGTTCCCTGAGGCACTGAGAGAGACAAAGAAACCGGAGAAAGATTCTGACATCTATGAGACTTTCGCCAAGTGTGAGGTAAACATTCCGCTCCTTAACTCAATGAAAAGTGTTCCTCGTTTTGCTAAATTTTTAAAAGAATTATGCAAAACAAAAATGAAAAATAAATTGAAAGAGAAACAAGAGGTTATGGTTAGTGAACATGTCTCAACTATTTTCCAAAATAAACTCCCCGAAAAATGTAGCGACCCAGACATGTTCACTATTCCTTGCATGATAGGGGGCACCACATTTCCTAGGGCCTTGTTGGATTTAGGGGCATCAATAAATGTCATTCCTCATTCCGTTTATAAATCCCTACAACTTGGCCCACTACATCAAACCGGTGTAGTAATTCAACTAGCGGATCATTCTAGCACTTACCCGAAGGGTATGATAGAAGATGTGCTAGTAGAAGTGGAAAATATGGTTTTCCCTGTCGACTTCTATGTCCTCGAAATGGGAAATGATGACCAAACAACACCCATCCTTTTGGGTAGACCCTTCTTGAAGACCGCAAAAACTAAAATCGACGTGTCTAGTGGTTCATTAACTTTAGAGTTCAATGACCAAAAAGTAGAGTTCAATATATTTGACTCTACGAAAAAACAAATTGAAGATCAATCTCTTTTCTCTTTAAGTGTTGTTGAACCACAAGA